ATGTTTCTGGACTTTCACTTTACTCTGCTTTGCCATTTTCTGTTGGCAGAGCGCAGTACCCATCTGGCACAACACTGCACTTGCTGCTATGATTCTGACTGCTGAACTTGCAGAAGACAATACAGTCTAAGGACTACCTTTTTTATATTGTGTCTGGCCTAAAGRGAGAAAAAATAAACCATTGGTAGTCTTGTTTTTTTCTTTTTTCATTCAGAAACAAAATGTAATAAATGAAAGTGCTTTTTGTAAAGAGCACCTATGTGATGGAGTGCATTGTGCATTCCTAAATTAAAAGGAAATATTTGAAGCTAAAATTGCCTGCTTATGTAAATCCCTATTGTGTGTCTTYTCTTTGTCATTTGAAAGACATTTTCAAGGCACAGGAGCTCTTCCAGGAATACATCCATAGTTATTTCACTGCTAATTGCTAACACTGCATTTTGAATCGTTTGATACAGAATCATAGAACGTTAAGGGGTTGGAATGGACCTTTAAGATTGTCTAGTCCCTGTCCCCACTGCTATGGGCAGAGACAGCTCCTTCTAGACCAGATTGTTGAAGGCCTTATCCAATCTGGTTTTGAACATTGCCAGGGTTGGAGCATCCACAGCTTCCCTGGGCAACCTGTTCCAGCGTCTAACCACCCTCACAGTAAAGAATTTCTTCCTAATAGCAAACCTATCTTTTCCTTTTTTTCAGTTTGTAGCTTTTACTTCTTATCCTTTGACTACAATTCTTGAGCAAGAGTCCCTCTCTAGCTTCCCTGTGGACTCCAGAGCACAGCTACTGAGTCTAGCTCCTCTCACAAATCCTACACCAGCCAGCTGTAGACATCTTTACTCTGCAAATAATCAAATAAATGAGGGACCAGAATGTACCTTCATCTGAATTAAATMGTGTAAATCATATTAATATTGTGTAAATGCAAACACATCTGTAACCGTGAGTTATAAGTCCTTCTTAACATGCAGGTTAGAACAGTGGTAAGGTGATTAGATGGGTGTGTTTTAAATATTTCAATTCCTCTGTTTGAATGAAAACAGAAGAATAGGCCTCAGTGTGTTTGAAATGTACAGAGCAGAAATCACATCACAGTATGCAAAGTTTTCATTTATCCATCTACATGATCTGCCTCTTATGCTTCACAAAAACATGTTTTCTGATTAAATGAACTTTCTCCTGTCTCTCAGAGCTGCTCATGGAATTTCTGTAGCATTTTGGCCTCACTGGCAGGATACCTTGATCTTCTCTGAGGCACAGTGTGGATCAGAGGCATTTGCCTTCCTCTACCCAAGGGAACATTTATTTATCTGCTGGGACTCAGCAGAGTCCACCCACCTCACCATTTCCACCCACCTCAGCTCAGGGCTGGCTCCTTCTCTTGTCAATCCCCTTGGGAATCCCACAATGGCAACCAGCAGAGCAGCAGAAACACAGAGCCCTCATCTCCTCCTGGTGCCTCTTGCTGTGGTTTTTGGGAAGCACATCCATCACATCCCACCCTTGTGTGGTGCCAATGTGTTGCTGCTGTGGCTGTGCTCCCATCCTCTGGGGTGAGGGGTGAAGCCAGGGACAAGGGTGGCAGTGTGGGGAAGGAGCGTGGTGCAGCCGGTTTGAGGATCTGTCCCTTGCGAGTGCAGCACAGAAACGATGGAACGTGCCTGAGGAGCTTGTTTAAGAGCCTAAATAATTCACATCCCACTTCTGCCAACTAATACGTCCAATGCAGCGAGTGGAGCCAAAAGACCAATTTGTATTGGCCAAAGAGCTGTCCCAAAGTCTCAGTCCCCGGCATTTTGTACTTAGTTGTGGAAATTATGATGGCACAAACAGAAGTTTAGGTAATGCAGGATAAATAAGAGATGGACTTGAATCCTCAAGGAAGAAAAAGGTATTTTCATTTTCGTGTTACTGGTACTAGTAACTCCAAGAAAAGTAATTATACATTCAGGTCTTGTGCATCATACATAGTCAGATTTATTCCTAAGTGGAATATTATCAAAATTTCCAGTGGCATTTCAGCTGTTCATTAAACTTTACTGCAGAACATAGTGACGATTTATTACACAGCCATAAAAGCAGCAGTAGGCATTATAAATGCGAGCCTTCAATGTTTCTTTCTCTATGTTTAAATCCTTTTTATTTTCCTCTTTTTCTTTATTTTTTCACTCCATTACATCCAGTGAAACAAGAGATTGTAGCAGTCAGTAATCAAGGAGCCACCTCCTTCAACAGCAGCCAGTAGCTCCTCTGGTTTATACAAGAGATGGGAGGTGTGCAGAGACTTAGATAGTATTCATGGTTCTAGATTTGTGTCAAACTGGCCAGTTGCATAGTCAGGAACAAAAAAAAAAACAAAAACAAAAACCTCAAACAAAGCAGCTGTGCTGACCACCCATACCTGAAACAAAAAGAAAACATTTACTTTTATGAGGAATTCCTTTGTTTCAAGCAGAGGTGGGAAAATACTATGCAGGATTAATGCATACAGAAAATTCATTTCTATATTCTTTGTGGTGGCTTTCCACAGCACTTCCACAAGCATCTTACATGATCTTTACTCGCTGCTGCAGCAATATCTTTGTGCTATGGATACTTGCATCTTGTTATATTTGTTCCACTCTTTAAAGGGCACGTCCCTTGGCATTTGGAGTTTTCTGTCTGGCAATATCTGTGCTTTGAATTTTTTGTGATATGCTGCAGTCTTCCAGCAAGCTCAGCTAATCAGTGGGCAGCGACAAGCCCCAGGTGACGTATTTGACTAACTGGCAGCTAATCAAGCTTATTTGAATTTTGCATGTCACATATTGGCATCAAACTGTTCACAACATAATCATAAAATACGTTTTGGATAAATTTGGGAAATGCATTTCAGGMGATGCTGCTCAGTTTGCAGATCTGCAGCATGGTGAAGTAGCTCACACGCATCTGAAAAATTATATCTGGTGAATTATTCATTCTATTTTTTTTTAAATCAAATAACAGGAAATAAATATTTTTCCAAGAGTTACATGGTTAGTGTTAGTTACCAAAATGCAGTAAACAAATGTAACCATTCCTAACAATTGTCTTTCCATCACTTTTTCTGCCTTTTTTTGAGTTGTTTGGAACACCACTTATTCTGATGTCTAGAAATCTTCAGGTTTGGTCATGTGGAATCAAGTGGTGCGAGAAGTCAAAGAGCATGAAAATGGCAGCTGTATTGCGCTGTATGCACAGTGAAAATGGCAAGCAAGGGTTCTCTTCACCAAGTAATTATTGTAAGTTTRCTTATTTTTATTAGGCAGGTAATTAGCAGCCAGAGAATAGGGTATTGTAGAGATGGCCTAGATTCTATTACGGTATCGGACCATTCAGAAACAGACCCAGTTTCTGAACTACTTAGGTGAACAATTACACAATGGAATTGTCCTCCCAAAATGCATTGACAATTACCAGAACTGTGCATGCCACTGGGAAATTGCTGATACTAATTACCATCATTAGATACTTGAATACAAAATATCTGCAAATGCTTCAGGAATTAGACATAAAATGGATTCTTTTCTCTCAGRTCATCTGTGCACATATTTCTAAAGACTAGGAGACAAGGATTAAGCCTGTAATTAGGTTACAGATTTTTCTTTCATATACCTGTAGACATCTGTGTGAGATTTRCATTTTAAAATGAATGGAAAATTTAGTTAATATTTTAATTAGTTTGCTTTGTGATACTTGAAGAATATTAAAAAATAAAAAAAAAATCAAAGACTCATCCTTTTGATACTTATTAATTGGTGAGTTCTTTCAAAAGACACATTCCCCAACTGAAYTGTATTTCATACAAAGTGTGACATGGATCACTTTTTCTGACTTACATCTTTATAGGATGCCTCAGACTGTGAAGGCAGCACTTAGCCAGCACATTCACAGAATAAAACTTCTCACAGGTGGAGGATTGTTTCTAGCTGACTCTTAGTCCATATAGCATGAATACAGCAGAAGTACAAATTCCCTGGGGAAAGGGGGTAATTGTCATTTGGTTTAGATTACTTGTACATATCACCTGTCACTTGTATTGAAAAACTAGGCAAAGTTATCACTTCAGAGATACAATTGYGGCTTTTAAACTTCTGATTTGACATAACTGTGTAAAGCTACTTCCCTGGCATATATTTTGTTAATTCAYGACTTGGACTTCTTGTCAAGCCAGATCTAAAATAAAATTTAAAGCATATCAAACCTCACCAGGTGCCCTATGCTCTTGGGATGATTTCCCAGGTTAAGGCATACTGAGTGCATTTTGCATGRTTTGTATGATCTGCCTGCCCTATTGGCCTGTACACCCTTGAAAGCTCCATGAGAAATGGTCCCATCCCATGGGTACATACATGAATACATGTCAGMGTCACATCACCAGCAGCATTTCAAGAGTGGGTGTTCAGCTGGTAGGTTTAGGATCATCCAGTTCATCTATTGGGCCTCTTCTTTCTCTACACGCCTCCACAGCTGGTTTTGGTGGCTGCTACATTCAGCTCTATAAGACCACAGGGCTTTCTCTGCTGCACTCATCTCAACATCTCCTCTTGCTCTTCTAAAATCARCTCATGAAGTCATTTCAGTGTTRTCATTTCAAAAGTCCCACATGGACRGGGGGTTGCTGGAGCTSATTGGTGTCATTGGTGTACAGTGTAAAATTTTTCCATTCTGCTGTCAATAAAAAAAYGAAAGTGATTTTGCCATTATGCTTAGACATGATTTTACGAAAGCATGGAAAGAAAATCCTTTCCTTCCTTTTCTCTTCCTTCCACCAAATAAAAGGGTGGGGTAATCCAAATAGAAGTACTGACATTGTCTTYATTTTATAAATATACAAGGACTGTGTCATACAATGATTTGTTCAAGTCGTGCTGTTCCAGTTGAAAACATCTGSTTATTCTCACTCCTGGTGAGGCCGTTTGGATTTGATGGAATATGTTTTTTTTTTTTCTTTTTCTTTCTTCCCCACCCAAAACCCCCAGGATATCCAGTGAACACTCGCCAAAGCTTCAGATCCGGAGCCACAGTTACCTGAGGGCAGTGAGCGAAGTCTCCATCAACAGGAGCCTGGACAGCCTGGACCCCGCAGGGCTGCTGACATCCCCCAAGTTCCGCTCCCGCAACGAGAGCTACATGAGAGCCATGAGCACCATCAGCCAGGTGGGTGACGTGTGCCTGGGGCAGCCTGGAGAGCAGGTGTCACACTGGACACTGTCTGCAACAGGAGAACCTGGATTTTTCTTTAAGTGGTGCTCACCAACACCTGTCTTTAAACAGGGTTCTGTTAAGTATCTTGTGCTTAGTACCTCCAATCAAAAATTTAGCTCCTCAAAAAAAAATTCATATGCTGAGTGAGATGCTAAAGGAAAATTATACTCTTAATAATTTGTATTCCACAATTCTGTTGCAATTTTATTAGAAATTTTAGTTTCTTTGTGCTATTTTATGCATTTTTAACCTTGTGCACCTCTGAACTTTTCACCTAGATAGTACAAATGTTGCAGTATATATATTAAGTGCAAAGACCTTTCTGTATTGTTGCCCTGAAATCCTGTAGAAGACCTTCATGCTCATTCTAAACAGGAACAAAAATTAAGAAGTCCAGTGTGATGTGTTTCGTTTATGTGTTTTAATGTTGTAAAATAGCCTTTCCTTGCMTTCAGCATGTTTGTGCAGTTGAATTCATAGGGAACAGATCTGAAAGAAGAGCAAAAGGGCCTGCACACCACAGAGCAGAGGGCCAGTAGTTCATCTGCTACATACCCTGGTTCCTTGCTATGGTTTTTGGCTTGTTAGCTCAAATGGGTCATTTGGGTAAATCACTTGGRTGAAAGAACTTCCTTGCACTAGTCCAGAAGTGCAGCAGGCAGGATTTGTGGTGCCAGATACTGATCCMTTATGACTGGCATATTAAAGTCACTGCAATGTCAAAAAAAGTGCATGACATTGGTGACTCCAGGACTCCAGCTGTGGCCATGACAAATACGCGTGTTGCTCCATTGCACATGGAGCTGCGGTTTTAATTTCTGCAGTATGCTATATTTAGACACTTCCAACTATGCACCTGTGTATTTTGTGGTGAGGCACTTTGCATAGGGCTGATGCTCTAAAAGGAGGGTCAGGATGTATCTGGGAGAAAACAGCAGAGAAATTCAGGTCTCAGTGGCAGCTACATGAACATTAGGTCAGGTTACTTGTTTAGCTGAGCACCAAAGACACAAAGCTGTCAGCCAAGGAGTGCTTGTCRTTTGTCAAGGTGAATGAGTTGCATTTTTGCTTTAAAAATGCATTAATTCAGAGATATTTACTTGAGGATTGGATATTCTCCACCACAGTAAGATTGTTCTTTCTAGTGTACTACCTACTACTCTTCCATGTTTTGTTTTTTTTTAAATAGTTTTCCTTTGAAAAAAAATACATTTTACCCTCTGAGATTTTTCAGTTATGTGTGCAAAGACTCAGCTAAACATTTTTCTTGGCAACATTAATTCTGGACAAGAATTTCTGGTGGGTTTTTTTTCTACCACCCTAACAGTCTTGTCTTGTCCTGCTAACTTGCCCTTGTACATGCTTGAAAACTACAAAATCCTCAATGATGGTTTCCATCTGCAGGTTTCCTATGGTGATAATTATTGTGCTTTAATGCCAAGCTCAGGTCTCAATTCTCAGTTTAGAAACATGAGCATCCATTACTAATTAAGCCAAGGTAAATGGTTTCCAGATTCTTAAGACCTGCAGCGAGTTTTTGAATATTCTTTAACCAGCATGAGCRCGAGTCTTTGTCACCACCTAGTGTCTGCTCATCAAAGGGTCTAAGGATTCCTTTGCATCTTCTCTCAGCCAAAGATAAAGTTGCACAAACATTTTTCCCCAGCAGCAAAGCTTTTTCCCTTATCAGCCTCCCCTTCCCAACTGTTTGTTACCCTCCAGCTTCCCAGCCACTGAGGTTTTTATCACTGTGATTGCCTGTGGGTTGCATTGATGATGTACTGGAGTTAAGCTGACCTTTTTGGTTTTTTCCAAACCCCACAATGAAAGTGTGGTTTTTGTTTCACAATGTAGCAATCACAATGACCAAACATTCAGCCTCTGCTGTGGGCCCAGGGTGACATAGAACAGACTCTGCCATGAGGGCTCCAGGCTTCCCACCAGTTTCAGCAGCAGCCCAGACTGTGCTGAATCTTTGCCCAACACCTGTGTCTCCTCTTTTTGTACATTGCTTTTTTCCCCTCACAATTGTCACCATGGGATGTTCCCTTTCTCTGTGTGCAGAGGGATGTTGGCCATGGTGCCACTGTAGCTTGTCTGCACCAGACAGTGTGGATATCCATGAATATCTGATGTTGGCCATGGTGCCACTGTAGCTTGYCTGCACCAGACAGTGTGAATATCCATGAATATCTGATGTTGGCCACAGTGCCACTGTAGCTTGTCTGCACCAGACAGTGTGGATATCCATGAATATCTGATGTTGGCCATGGTGCCACGGTAGCTTGTCTGCACCAGACAGTGTGGATATCCATGAATATCTGATGTTGGCCACGGTGCCACTGTAGCTTGTCTGCACCGGACAGTGTGGATATCCATGAATATCTGATGTTGGCCACGGTGCCACTGTAGCTTGTCTGCACCGGACAGTGTGGATATCCATGAATATCTGATGTTGGCCACGGTGCCACTGTAGCTTGTCTGCACCGGACAGTGTGGATATCCATGAATATCTGATGTTGGCCACGGTGCCACTGTAGCTTGTCTGCACCGGACAGTGTGGATATCCATGAGTATCTGACCCTGCTGGTGTCTGTCTGCAGGTGAGTGAGATGGAGGTGAACGGTCAGTTCGAGTCGGTCTGCGAGTCGGTGTTCAGCGAGCTGGAGTCGCAGGCGGTGGAAGCGCTGGATCTGCCCATGCCAGGSTGCTTCCGCATGAGGAGCCACAGCTACGTGAGAGCCATTGAGAAGGGCTGCTCCCAGGATGACGAGTGCATCTCACTGCGCTCCTCGTCTCCGCCACGCACCACCACCACGGTGAGGACCATCCAGAGCAGCACTGGTGAGTAACATGAAGGGCAATCCCGAGGAGGGCAGCAAGGGAAGGAAGGTTCTTCTGAGCGCAGCTCGATCGGATCAAGCTTTTCTCTGCCAAGACAGCCTGTGTTTCACAGGGAGCTGGACAGACTAATCAGCCTCAAACCACACACAGACAAAGGCTGATGCAGTTGTGGTTCCCTCTGTGTCCAAGATAATTTGTTCTGAGCTAAAAGCACACAGAAGGGAAGTCTGAGGTCATGTCTCCTCTCGCAATTCTCCCCAAAAGAGCAATCRCAATTTGGCAAGGCTGAACAAGAAGGCTCTGGGTTAGCAGCTCTTCTGGCTGCTACCAGCAGAGGAGGGTCCCTCTGCTGAGGCTTTCTATAAAGTTGAAGTGATCTTTCAAGTTAYTGGGTGTGGTTTTCACTGGCTCAAAGAGACTGTTCCAGCTCTCTAGGCCCCATCTAAGAGGTGAGAATGAAAAGGGAAGAAGCAGTCTGCAGGTCAAAACATGCATGTTCTCATTTCACTGTTGCGTTCTTTCTGCAGCTCAAACTATTCAAGCCTTGCTAGAGAGAGAGGTTTCGATGTAAACATGAGACTTCAAACCTTCCTTTTAATGTTTGAGGTTGCTTTTCTTTTGGAAATAACCATGATGAATTTCAGATTTTGTCACCAAAATAGTGYTTAAGAGGAAGAAAAACTAAGTAAAACCGAATTCCAAATCTGCCTCTCTCATTCAGGAAAGCAAGAGGCAGGAGCCATTACATGTGTGTGCTCTTCCCTGAGCAGGGGAAGGATGAGAGCCTCTTTCTTTTGACTTCTGTGCATCCATTTTAATGTTTTACAGCTGCTTCATATACTATTCATGTACTGTTCATATACTAATCATATTCTTGACTAATACTGACTATTATGTGTTTCACTGTACCTGCTATCTCTTTTGCTGTATTTTTTCATTTCCGTTTTCTGTAAACTTTTGTCCTTTTGTGTGTTATCTCACAGGTGCAGTTGTTTATTCCTTGTAAGTTCTTTATTTCTCACTCCAGTCTTTTTTAAAGCTGCTTGTCAGTTGTTTTATGTCGTCAAAGAACACTTTCAATCCTTTAACCAAAAATGTTCAGCTAAATTAAACATTTTTCTAAAAATAGAAAGTCTAAGTACTGTTGGAAGTATTGGCAGTACATGACAGACATCAAAGCATTTTTAATAAATGCTGCAGAGCAGTTCTCTTCTAAATCACTAAAGAAATAGCACTCACATGACAGCATTTCTGCAATAGAAATAGCCCTTGTGTCCACCAAACCACAAAGAMAGGATTTGCATAAGGTGTGTTCTACTTCGTTGTGCAGTATTAGTTTGTGTGAAATGTATTCTGAGGCAAAAGCTGAAGGATGGAGTTTTCAGGGATTTTTCAGTGTGCATTCATCTTTGTTAGATCAGCTTGGGTTGATCCCAAAGAGTGTTTTCTGTTCTGTGAGAATGGCTTTGTYAACACTTCTCATCTATAAAAATTACTGTGATCATTAATACAGGRGAGAATAACTATTTTTTTCATTATCTGTATGTAAGAGGTTGTTCCTGTCACTTAGGAAGATGATGCCTGAGTCTGGGGAGGATGTGTATAAATGGGAAATTGGCTCTGTGTGCCAGCCAAAAGCACTGGAAAATCTGAAAGAGGAAAATCTGTACTGTAAACTATCTTTTATTTATGGTCCCTTTTTTTGTAGCACCACCACAAGCCTGACCTCTTCTCTGGTAGCTGGCTTCATTTAAAAAATTATACGAACAAAACTGAGATATTGAAAAACATAATCCAGTGTGTGTCTCAGGTTACTGTTTCTATAGTCAGGCCACTAAAAGCAGAGGGGAATGATTTGCAGTGCTCTCTTTGCACATACATAGAGGTCTTTAAAGGCTGCTGTAGGTACCTATTTCCTGCTGTGCAAATTTTACTGAGTTATCTTTTTCATTTTTTAATTCTTGGGCTCCTGAGGGTCCATCTCTTCCACTGGTAGCATTTCAGACAACTTATCTCTTTTACTACCTGACTTRCATATACTCTGTTTAATGGGGATTGGAATTGAATTAGTACAGTTCAAAAGCATCTGTATTGACTACCTTGCTGGGCCTGGCTCACAGAAGAGAAACATGAAAGGCACCGTTGATGGTTTCTATTAATATCTGCTTCAATAAAATGGCAAATGGCACAGCAACTAGGCAGATGTGAAGAAAGGAGAACAGCATCTCAGGTTTATCTCCACTGAGGTGATGTTGCAAATCCTTTTGTGGGAGACATGGGGGCAGTTAGGATCCAAATATGGAATGAGACAACTGTCGTTCGGCCCCAAAAGCATCTCTGCCTGTTCAACCAAGAGAGATTCCTTTCATCAAAATTTGCAATTCCCTCAAGGACATGACTTTTAATTCACCGATGCACAAAGCTGTGATCATACACTGATATTGAGAATATCTTTAACAGATGGAAGTCCAGGAAAATGCCCGCTTGATGATGGTGGAAAAGACAGGAGAGCTGTCTGTTTACTGGATTCAACATTATTCCTCTAGAGCAATATTCCACAGCTTTCCAGGACATCTGGATCAAAGCAAGAACAGTGGACAAAAATCACACTTCTGCTTTTGTTATTGTGGTGGCAGCCTCCTGTTTTCATTTCTTTTTGCCACGTAGTATTGGAGGTTTAGTTCCACAACCAGGAATTGCACCTCTAGCTCAGTTCCTGAGGATGTGCTCAATCTAACTATAARTCTGGTGCTTGTGCCCTCACTGTGGCACAGAGCTCAGCTGAGGGTGACTGCAGCTGGATGAAACTGAGCCTAGGTGTAAAACGGGGGTGTGAGCACAAACCTGATGTTGCTGATGGGATAAAATCTTACACTGCGAGTGGGGAAAGGGCAAATCCTAACCTCACCAAAGTCTCCATGTATCTGGGAGGTKAGAAGTTTGATCAGAAGGTGGTGTTGGTGTTTTATCACAGAMTCACAGAATCATTTCGGTTGGAAAAGAACACGGAGATCATTGAGTCCAATCTATGACTGCACCTTACCATGTCAGCTAGAYCATGGCACKAAGTGTGACATCCAATGTTTTCTTAAACACCTCCAGRGATGCTGAGTCCGACACCTCCCTGGGCAGCYCATTCCAAATTCTAATCAACCTTTCTGTGAAGAAATTCCTCCTAACATCCAACCTAAACTCTCCCTGGCATAGCTTAAGACTGTATCTTCTCATTGTGTTGCCTGTTGCCCGGGAGAAAGGTCAGTCCCCTGCTGTGAATCATGAAATACATGTGTGATACATGCAGGTGATGAGGGTGACCATCAAACTACAGCTGAGATGCAAAGGGTGGATTAATTTGATTACCTCACTGACAACACCAAGCATTAGAGACACACTGGGAACATGGGCTCTGTTAGGCTTAGTTTGTCCTGGAGAAAAGAGACACACAAGGCACAGGATCCATTAGGCTCAGTTCATCCTAGCACACAGCAGCAAGGCTCACTGCCTGTCCACAGATATCAAAGGACTTCACACATGCACAGTTTATCACCAGGCTGTGTTTTTATGATATCTCTCTCTTGCAGCAGGAAGCTCAAGCATGTCTGTGAGAGTGACAGGAATTCTACTTCTCAAAACAGGCAGAGGATGAACAACACCAGGCATAATAAATGGAGTTTTCCCACTCTGACTGACATTCTTAGCATTCCCAGCTGAAAGGTCACTTTGAGCAAAAACTATTCCCTCCTCACCAAATCTTCCAGTTTTAACCCTTTCYTCCCAACACCCCACCTGGCTACAAAATCCCTTTTATCCATGTTTCTAAATGAAGTATTTTGAAATGAGGAAGAAAAAATGCAATCTTGACACTTAATATGGAATTGTAAATAAATGCCATGTCGCAACTTCATTGTGCCCTGAAAGCTAAGCAGTGGAAAAGCTCCATGCACCCTCTTTTTGCTCTCTCAGCATCAGTGGTACCCACAGAGGCAGCTGCATCCTGGCTGGGGCCATCCCTGGGAGCAGGGCTGTGCAGGCTGGGAGGCAGAGCAGCTCTGAARTGCTGACATATGTTATACACCATAGGCTGCGCTAAAAATTAACACCCAGGTCATTTGATCTCTTCAGAGGAGTTTAATGAGCTGTGAGTTATTACATAATTTGATCCCAGGTTATTTGCAGATGCAACTGTTGTAGCTGAARCTCTTCAGCCAACAAATCAAATACTAAATAAGTAGCCTTTTAACAATTTAAGTCAGTAAATCACTTCAATAAGCATGAAGAATATAGTAGCTAAGAAACAATGTCTTAAGTCTAAAGAACATCTTTCTCCCACATTGATTGTGTTTCTAAACTTTGCCTGTGTGGCTGTTCATGATCTTTTGCTGCAAACAAACCTTATGGCATTGTGAGAGCTCAGGCATTAGCACGCTTGCATCCAAATATATAACTGAGACTGGATATGTTTAATTTGAAAATAACATCTCTGTGCTCAAGTAGTAACATCAGGGAAAAACCCTGCACTAGATTGCAATTTGGTAGCTATGCTCTGTAGAGTCAGGCAAAGAGAAATATCAGAGTTATCTGCAGCAATGCCATCTGGTGATTCTCGGTAATATTACACTCCTGCTTAAAAGCAAAATAAACAAAAATCCCAAGGCAATCATGCTGTGTAGCCAGCAGGTTGGAAAAGGACAGAGAGTTAGCACAGCATATGCTAATTACAGCCTTTCAGCTGAGCAAACCATTTTCTTTTCATTCATTGGAACATCTGATCAAGACAAGTCAGGTATTTTGTGGAAAAATCTCTAAGGGACTGCCTAGCCAATTAAAAATAAATAAATAAATAAGCGTACAAAATGCCARCAAGTCTAAAAATTGACTTGTGCCAGGCAGAATTCAAAAATAAAATCAGATCCTGTGGATAAGGTAGCTGGAACTGAGTGTGTGCCAGATACGTCTAAGCTCTCTTGGAGTTCCCAGAGCTGTCCTTTCAGAGACGTCTC